AAAAAAAAAAAAAAAAAAGTTTCCGGACAGGACCGGACGGGGGACTGGACCTCCCCGTACAGTTCGCGGACAAAACTGCACCGGACGGGCGATGGCCCTACCGGACAGCGTGCGGCACGGTGCGGCCCTGTCTGGTACGAGTACGGGCCTGTAGGCCAGACGGGAAGGTCCCGACCCGGACCCCGTACGGCGGACGGGACCGTGCGACGCACGGAACGGTTGCAAGTATGGTTTTCACGAATCCAGTGTTTATAATGATCGGGCGATATATTCGGGTGAAGACGGTAGTCAGATCCAAGGTTGTTTTTTATAGGGTGTGAGGAGTTTGACTGACCACTTGGCTATCATGGAGGATTCACGGCCCAGTAGTGCCACATTTCAGATTTTGGAACCACATATTCTCGGGCCCAATCCACCCCATGCTTCTCTTTCTCTTAGATTTTCCACCAAGAAACTTTGCAGATGCATGAGGGGCCTCTAGAGTCCCGCTGACTTTTTTTTTTTTTTTTTTTTTTTTTTTTTTTTTTTTTTTTAAGACAAAAACTCCAATCTATTCATGGGGAGCAGCATATGCATCTTGTAAGTAGTTGCCTGATCCATTGAGCATAGAATGAGACAAGTTGATCATTGACAGAATGACACAATTGGAAACCACAATTGTCGTCTCAAAAAAGGAGAGGTACTTTTTTCTTTCTTTGTTTCATTTTTTAATTTTTATATATATATTTTTTAAGGCAGAGGTACTTCTGCTTGGACCAGTTTGGCACGTTGCACATACGTTTGCGATTTTGTTGTTTGTTACTGCTGCTTGTTCATCACTGCAGTCTCCATAAGATAACCTTGATACACAAGTTTGAATTTCGAGTCCAACACAACGATAACCCTGAATACCCAGGTTTGTGTTTGAGTCCAAAGCAGCAAATGATTTTGATACTGGAGTCGATTGTGTGAAGGCTACCATTATCAGTGAAAGCTGCAAACTTGCTCCAGCTCACCCGCATTTCTGGGACCGCAGCATACTACTCACGTCAAACTGGGTTATGGAAAAAATATAAATCAGTCGTACAGGGCTCTAAAAAGAGTTTAAAAAATTGTATTTGACAGTGATATAAAGTATGGGGATATAGAAAGCTTATTGTACACATATAAAAGTATCACCTCAGTTTTGCAGGTATGCTAGAAAGTGTTCAAGGAATTGATGTGATCAGCCAACATACCTATTTTGCAGCGTTGAGTGTTGCATCATTGCAACAACATACAAACCACTCTTTTTTTTTTTGGGCGGGGGGGGGGGGGGGGGGGGGGCAGAAGTGGATTTACGGACTTCTTAGTTACTGAGTGCATTTGAAACTAATATAACCCCTATCTTAATGGTACAGAGTAACAAAGCATTATGCCGGCGACAACGACACTGGTTGCAAATAGTTTCAATGTCACACATTTCCTTGAGCGGCTATCTTCAGTTGCTAGCATCAGGGCACTAGTCCCGGTCCCTATACAACTGGGACTGCAAAATCCTAGCCATACATTGACTTCATCTACCGACAAACTATTTTCCAAATTCCAACTATAAGTAAAATCTCAGACATCTACGAGAGACAAGACAACCAACAAGATCAACGGTAAGCCGACCTTGCGATGTGGCACTCACCTAGATCGAAGAATCACCTCGCCTGCCAGAGTGGTACCACTGCCCTACCCTGTGACAATATAAGTCGAAGGAGCCAGCTTGAGAAGATTCTCGAGCAGCGCCCTCGAGACCGCGCCCGTTCGCGGCACTCATTGCGTACGTGAACATGTGCAAGAAGCACAAGGGACAGGTCCTACAGAGCTCGAGTCGTTCTCCACACCTCTTTTTGGCGGTGGACTGTCCAAACAGTCTATGAGTCCTACTGCTCCCTCTTCGGTCGTCATCATCCATCCAGTTAGCTTTCTGTGGTATGTTGGTCTCCTTCTCTACTTGATACTGTGAGTGTGTCGTCATACACACTGCCTGTATCCCCCCACCATGAACACCTCTGTGTGTTACGTAGGACACCGCCCCAACGCCTCATCCGATCAGTCCGCTACCCTGATTGCTCCCGCTCTCCACAACCCCCAAACTTCCCAGTCACCTCCTCAGCTCCCCCAATCCCTACAGAACCCCCGTTGTACGACCCCTTCCTTCTCACATAATTTCCCCCCAACCTTGCTATGCAGTCTGATTTCTCTGTATTCGAAGAAAATCTCATTACCGCGGAAGAACTAATTGTACTTTCCTCTGGCCCCTTTATTCCATTGTACTTTCCACTGGCACTCCTACTTTCCCCATTTCCGCGGAAGAACCAATTCGGAGAATCTTTGTTTTTGATCCAGCTTCAGCCTCCTTACTTCCCCTTCACCTCTTCGCCCTCTCACTTATCACTCCTTCTTCTTTCATCAACCTCCTGACTTACTTTGTTGAGAAACGCTTTGGCTCAACCTTCCTTCTCACCGATCTTTTGGAATACATGGAATGTAACTCATTTTGTACTTTCCAGAGCGGAGCACGGTCATTCTATTTTCTACTCCGTGACCAAGCTCTCGAGCTACTCTCACATTCCCTTTATTCCATTGTACTTTCCTCTCTTCTTTTTGTCGGGAACCGTTGCTTCAACTTCCTTACCGGCGAAGAGCGGGATCGTGCAGGCGAAAGCCTGACCATATACAAGCACCAGTTTGCGCACGATCTGCGAATCCCCTGCTCGTGCTTTTGTCTATGCCTCGCTAACACCACCTAACTGTCATTGAAATTTTGGGTAAACAAAGGTCTGTTAAACCTGGCAAAAAACCTTTCCGCCATCGGTACTTTGTTTGCCTTCGTTTCACCGATCGCGTTTTTCTTCAAGGGTTTCTTCAAGCAGATCATAAAGGGCAACTTCGGCCACCTTTTTTAGGACAACCTTCTCCCATTGGTGTTTTAAGGGCCTCGTTCCACACCACTTACGAGTCCTTATTCTGTAAGGGCACCGTAACTGGGCGAGGGTGATTAATTTACTCTAATCTTTTTTTTTCATTCCACAACTCGAAAGGAGGAGTTTGGAAGACCGTATACTTACCCGCCCTTACATCTCACGTGAGGAGGGCTTGGTGTCATAACGTTGGCCTGTCAGACACGGATATCTGTGAAGGCGGTTTAACGGACAAGAAGTTGTCCATGTCCTGTGGGCCTGTGAGACATGCACTTTTTTGGAACCTCACCCTTTGGGCGGCCAGCCTACCAGGCGCACGAAGGCGACGTCCCATAATATAAAAGGTGCACACGACAATAACATTTCAAATTTGAATTGCCTTGGTCGTTTGTGGACAACGCCCTCTCCCGTCATCCGTGCTTCTTGCCGCCTTGGGAAAAAAATCATCATAGCCTGCCAACCGCCAATTGAGTTGTGCGCGTCTTTGCGGTTCATTTGGGGCGATGGAAGACGATATCGGCAATGTGCTAGGGGCACGAAGATTGACACCAAGGGAGAGGTCGCTGTTTGGAATGACACTGTTCGCAGTTTCTCATCACGTGCATATGGTGAATGACCTGCGGTGGGCCAGTGGAAGACAGAGGGGCAGACATGAGAACCATGTACCCCAAACTTCGATGGCCGTTTAGTCCTCGCCAGGTCTATGGGATGCACTGTTCCTGTTGTTGAACGCAATCGTGGCGGGTGTGATGCCGAGGGAGATCGAGGTGGTGGGTGAAAAGAAGAAAGGGTGGAACATGGAGGGACCTCACCATCGTGGACGATGTGATCGACATGTACTTCCATGACAAACTGCGGATGACGTAGACGGTGTTCAATGTCATAGTGGCAGCATGCAATCCTCTCCTTCACCACAGACTGACTCACTATCGGGAGCTATTGCAGCCCGACCTTATCGTGGCATATGTGTTGTATCAGTGGGCATCCAGAGAGACTTTCGAGAGCAGCACATCGTCGTTCGGGATAGGGAGCTCGTCAGGCATCAAGGTTGTCCAAGATGTTACAACTGCCATCTTGGGTGTATATCCGAACGTGATCGCAATTCCAACCACTTGTTGTCTCCTACATGTGCTCTGAGCTTTCAGCGGGAAAGGTTTCCCGAATTGCTTTGGTGCTATTGAAACAGAGGATTCGTGAAAACCTAACCAAAAAAACTGTTGGGTTTGCACAAAAAATTTTAAAGATTTTTATAGTACATTTTCCAGGCCTCCTACATGAAAAAAATTATATGTGCAGTACATTAACCGCAAAAAAGGAATAGAAATGTACTTTTTCAGAACCACCGGAAGTGGTGAGGAGAGAAGCAAGTTTTTTAAAGAAAAATCACTACCTTGCAAAGCACCGTTTGTTAAGGAAGAGAAATGTCCTCGTTTTTTGTTTATCTTTAAAAATTATATTTATAGTTTTATAAGGTATGTAGCATAACAAACCTATTCGGGGGTTTCCCAAAAATGCACGCATGTTCTCTTGTTCACGAATATGTTCATGTGGATATGTTTTTTCATACATGGACGAATACATTATTTTTCAGTATTTTCTATTAAAATATTTTCCATTTTTTACTTTAAAATCGTGGTTGGCTGAAAATTTGAAAATGTCTCCTAAGCAAACGCTGTTTGAATTTCTCTTTTACATAACATATATTTTTTTACAAGATTTTTACATATAAATTAGGAACGGACTTAAATATAATGTATAGTTTTATAAACAAGTTTTCGCAAAGCTTGGTTTTTACCAAACTGTTGAAAATGACTTGTAGTTTTATAAATGAGTATTCATTGAAACTGTTTTTCTTAACATCTTTCGAGTTCGCCTTGCAGTCCTTAAACATTATCTTGTTTAAGCTATGCTTTTTGTCAATCTACTCAGAACAACGTATAGTCTTATAACATGGACTTTGCTGGAAATAATTTTATTGAATATTTTGAGAATCACCAGAATTTTTGCCCATTTTTTGCCTTTTTTCTCAGAAAAC